AAACCACAAGAACATTGTTACCTTGAGCCTGAGATGCCAATTCAGATTCAACCCTGAATTTGGTTGATTTGGATTAAGTGACAGAGAGTGAATAGAACCATTGAATTTCAGAGATCATAAAGTTACACTATACCAAAGTAAAGAAGACATTTGAATCAAGCGTAGATAGAAAACATTAAGCCAAGAAAACAACACAGTTCACATAATTTTGTTCGCCCCTACAAAACATTTAAGCAGTTAATTTTGTTTTTGTTTTTGTTTTGTTTTGCTTTGTTTTTGAAGAGCAATTGTGGTCTTTTAAATTTTCTTGGTTGGAGGGCAAATTTTTATCAGCATTAGTGCTGTGAAATGATTTTGGTTTGTCATCCTCAAAGTATAAGTGAGATTATGAGAAAATTGGGCAGTCCTTCTCCTGGATTTAGTTCACTGATAATGCTTGGCATTCTTTTGCACAAGCTCAATCTAAATTATGGGGCTTTAGTATGGATGATAAGGTTTGATGGCAGATAGAATAATGAACTCTGCCAGTTTGTTTGGTAAACATCAGTGACAAATTTGAACTTTTGGGTGAAGGACTGCTAGAAGAATTCAACAGCACCTGGAGGTAAGGTTCTGTTACAGAGCCCTTGTTTTTCCCTCACTGGCTACGTTGATTCATTGTGGCTCATGGATTTGCCTCCGTTCAGCACACCGGAGACACTTCTGCTCTTGGTTGGGGTCCCGCTTCCAGATCGGGAGAATTCTGTGAGATCGTGCAGTGACGGCTCCTTGTACATGGCCACTGAAAAACACAGAAAGATGGTGTCAAAGGTCTTCAAATGGGCACACCACAGTGGCCCTCAACTTTTCTTCTGGTTAATAGGCTTCCATGCTTGAGGCCAAATATGACAAACACTGCTTTCAAAGACTCACTAGGTAGTGAACTGGATCATATTAAGCCAAATGTAGGCTTGGTGAAGAAGCATGTAAAGAATTCTAATGCCCAATTGCCATCACTTATGGTTATGTATATGAGACGATTAATGAAAAATGCATTTAATAAAGCTCTTAGAGGTTTAAATATGATCTAGAGCATGCTATGCAAGGGAAATATTAAAATTTAAAACCCTTTAAAAAACACTGATTTCTATCATGCTTCAAAATGAAACTAAGAGTCTAAATATTAGCACAATTCTTAATTCAATAAATGGTAAATATTATTGTTAGGCTGTAGATAACAGTACTAACTTATATTTATGGAGCATTTATAATGTGCTAGATATTGTTCTAAGTGCTTCACATTCATTATCTCATTTAATCCTCATAAGAATCCTCTGATGTACCTACTCTTACCCATATCTTATAGATGAGGAACTTGAGGCACACACAGGTCAATAATCCGCCCAAGACCATCCATCAGGTTAGTAAAAATGGTAAAAATGGAATTTGATTTCAAGTAGTCTGGCTCCAGAAAATGTGCTGTGAAGCAGTGCTATGCTGATGTGACTGGGCAGTCTGCCCTACTGGAAACCTCTAGTTAAACTCCAGACCTCTTGGAGGTCACGTTCTGCTTGGCCTGAATTTTCTATGCCTTCTCTACCATGTCTCACTACTAACATCCCTATCCTCTGCAGCCCATTCTTATTCTTCACCCTTTCTAATTTGCTACTAATCTGCTAATAATGACTGAAAAACAAAACTATGAATGAAAACTGTTGGGGCAATATTATTGGGCACTTAGAGAGGGCCCAAGGAGCTTTCCAATTAGTGTTGCATGCACACATTTAAGCATCAGTGTTTCTGCCCAGGGACCATTTTGGCATAACTTAGGGTTCTTGGATATCCTGAGTTAGCAATTAAACTTCTTCCATATAAGTAAGGCATTACTATATGTAGACATACTATGGAAAAATCAAAATCAGGAGATTAGATGCTATTGTCAATGTTTTAATATTTTTAAGTATTGTAAAATGTTACTAAATTTTTGTATAAATGTCTTAATGTAGAAAAATTATGTTCCATTTTCTAAAGTGTGATAAAGGATTGCTTTAAATACATACTCATTTAGTCCACAGCTCCTATAAAAGCAAGCTTACCTTTCAGTGGTTTGGGCAGAAAGTGGGCTGCAGGCTTGTTCTTCTTCACATGGTTTCCTTTCATGATCTCTCCTTCTTTGTTCAGACCCAGATACCACCCTCGGCCTGACTGCTGCTGACGGTATATCATCGATGAATATGTCACATAGTAATTTTCAAACACGGATTCTTTGAATTTGCACTCCGGTGTGAAATGTTCCTACAAGAAAAGTAAATAAACTAAAGCTCAATATTTATAGCTATAGATTTAATGTAGAACCATGTGGTATTGCCCTTCAGAAGTTAAGGACATACTTTTTTAAAGCTTAAATGACCAGTGTTCTATTTTAATAGTATGAACTATTATCACTGGAAAATGACTATATATAACATTTTGCATGACACTTTACAAAAAGCCCCAAGTGCAAGTGCTACTGAACAATGATTAGCTCTCTTTGCAATAAGGAAGTGGAAAAATTAGAACCAGCCACATAGCGTAATACATTGGATAAATATAAGAGCCAAAGATTGAAAAGACAAGCATAAAGTGGTCACATGGAGCTTTGTTCCCTTCGAGATTAAAGATGAGAAAACAAACATTTAGTCCTTGTATTTAATTTTCATAGATTCTTCAGTTACTATAAACTATTAATTTTCAATTGCTCAAGGCTGAAATCTGTGTTACAATGTTACAATACTGGCTGCCTATATTTCTAAAGGGATGCTAGAAGGAAAGACTCCCTTTTACTTTTAGGTAAACCAAGTTGATTTTTTTTTTTTTTAGATACTGGACCTTGACTTAAAAAAAAAAAATCCCACCTCACCCCATCCTTGCCTTATAGGAACATTTACAAGCAAATCAATATGGAAGCAAGAAATTTACAGTAATTCTACAAGCAGACATGAGAGAACAGCCCAGGGAACTCTGAACCGTGGAATGTGATTTTCTGCCACATACTTAGCCATGTTTTCTCTGGACTTGCCTATACAAATTAAGGGCTCCTGAACCAACCAACTGATGGTTTCAGAAACAAAAACAGACACAGAAAACCTTTCAAGTTTTGTGTATGTGTGTATATATAATAAATAGCTATTAAAATGGCCATTTGTAAGCAAAATGAAATGAATAGCAAATTTTAATCCCTAAGTAATCCAAAGAGAAACAGAGGGTCCTTTAGGAGTGGAAGATAATGAAGAAAATGCTAACAGTGGCATCAAGGAAGCCATTAGAGTTTTGCTCATTTGCTGAGATATTATGAGGAATAAATTTTGATAAAACCATAAAAAAAATACCTTGTAAAAATACTGCAAGCTTTCTGGATATCAGTCTTTTCTGAACAACGGCACCATGGTCCCAGCTTCCTTCATTTTCATATGAGATATCATTCTAAGCAATGCACACTACCTCAACAACAGGATCTAAAGCACTCTCAGGGAGTCAAGTCGGCAAAGAGGGACAGATTCCTCAAATAAGGCAGCCTTTCTCTGTAGGTTAAACAATAGAACTTTTTTTTTCTTTTTTCTGAGAATCCACAAAATCTGTCTCCCTCAGTAACCTCACTGACTCCCCTCATCTGGCGTGCAGAGTGCACAGACTGGAATCATCTTTCGGGGTTATTTCAGCCTGGGGCACACTTGATAGAGCCTTGGAAGATTCATACAAATTCAATCTACCCAAGAAGAAATGTACTTATAAGGCAATTATCACATGCTTGGAACCAAAGTGTTCTATTGATCAGCTGTGAAAACTCCTCTTTGTAGGATTCTTAACATAGGGAAAGCCAAGGTATCCCTAACAAAGAAATTGGACTAAGAATCTCCACATTCCCTCTAGTGATGAGGACAATTGCATAGAACGTTGCTAACATTCATTGGGAATTAAATCATCATTTAGAAAAAAAAATCTCATCGTTGGAGAGTACATTTTAGTTTTAGAAAGAGTCAGACACCATTTGAAAATAAATATGGTGAATAACATATATGATTACGGTGAGCGATACTGTGTAACCACGTGAACAACTGTATGACTGACTAAAAAATGATGAGATGGGATCATTGTGTGCTCTAAGGCAGGTCCCCAAAAAGGGCTGCAATTACGTCTTGTGTGTAACAGCATTCATTCATTTATTTATATGCATTTTCTGACAATCTATTACATGCTTGGGTGGTACTAAAAATCTACAGGTAAATAAGATGTGGCCTTAGAATGCTTACCATATATTTTCAGGAGTGAGACATGAACCCAGATAACCTGGACACAAGTATGCTCTCATTAAGTATAAAAAGAGAGGTATAAACGAGGTGTTGTATGAGAAAAGAGGAAGCCTGACTTAATTATGACTGGGGGACTAGCGAAGTGTAGGCTTTACAGAGAGGGTATTATTTTAGCTGAGCCTTGAAGGATGGGTAGGAATTCTAAACAGAAAAGGGAGAATAATATTTGAAGCACAGAACCACAGTTCCTCTAACCTCCACTTCTGTGTCCCCTGTCTCAGTAATTAGAGTCCACCATCCTGGCAATTGCTCGCACTTAAAACTTCAGAGGACCTTCCACATCCTCTCCAGTTCATGACCTTTACCTTCCACCCCCATTGTCACTACTCTATTATTACCTTGCCACTCTTATTACCTCTTCACAGGCCTGCTGTAATAACCTCCTAACTGGTCTCCTCTTCTGATAAAAGGGTTCCTTCCTAACACAAAGTTCCCTTCCTCAGGAACTTCTGATGGTTTCATCATGCCTCTAGTAAAACTGACAACCTGATGTGGCATTTAAAATTCTCCACAATTTAGTCACTACCATGCCTTCAAGTCTCATGCTCTGCCACAGAATCATGTATGCCTTTGGGCCTTTACAGATGCCATTCATTTTTATTGTTTAGAATGTCATTCTTCTATTTCTCTATCTACTGGCTTTCCCCTCATCCCTCAAGGCCTAGCTCAAATATGACTGCCTCTGGAATCATATTTTATTTCTCCCAGTTAGAATTGACTATACTCATATTTGTGCCTTCACAAACTCTATCTGCATTTCCAGCTTGTCCCTGTGACTCAGGCACATGCTTGATTGGCTCCAAATGGCAGGGAATTTGTCTTATTTCTGAATCCACCTTCCACCTTCATAAATAGCTGGTCATATTGCCTAACACACAGCAGACCACGTGATTATTGTTTATGGGATTTGAATTTCAGAGATTCAGATTTGAGGACTGTTAATTCCAGGATTCAGAAATATCACGCAGTAAAAAGTCTGCAGGGAATTTCCTTAATACCATATAACAAAATCAGTTGTATATAGAAGGAAGCTGTATAGCACATAGAAATCTTGAGTGCATGACTTAGTATATGTTAAGAATAACAGATACTACACAGATACTGGCACCTACAACATTAAGAAGAAAAATTTGGCAATTGTTACAACTATTGGAAAGTGGCAAGGAAGGACTCAATGAACTGAATGCTCTGTCATATCCTGGAAATTTCTTAGTCATCACCACTAAATTTGGACTCAAAAACTCAGTAGAGAGGGAGGAAAATGAGGCCAAAAAAAGAATGTTGAAGCAACCAAAGGAGTGTTCTGTTCTCTGTGTGCGACACTGTCATTTTATCCAGTGTTGGAATGAGTAGGCAGAAGAGGCTTGATTTTTCTGAAATGTGGAAAAATGTGAACATCCCACCTAACACAGGAAGGGTCACCAAAGAAAAAAGGGTGCAATTGCATCTCTTTATCAGCAGTGATTCATATAAATAACAGAAATTAAATTTGACTCCAATCAGAGAAGCCCTATCGAGAGGATACCAGGGAGACACATGGCAAGGAATAAACTTCTTTTGATCGATGTGTAGATGATTATTAGTACTCTTGAAGAAGGTACGATAGTGGCTTTGACACATAGTAGGCACTAATTAGAGGCAGCAATCACCATGCTTTGTATTTAATGTGCATTAAATAAATATCTGCTATCATAATAAATGAATTTAAAAGGATGCCAAGCATTCCCTGAACAGCCACTAAGAAATTACTTGGCATGAGTACAAGAGAAAAAGTGCTTTATATCTTATAAACTTTTATGCATTGACTTTTCTTAAAAGTTGTTTACGTCTTGTGTATCTATATTTTTTTCAGAGAATCCATACCAGTTAGTTATACAGATTATATTTTTGGTCAGGAATCAAGAATCTACATTTTCAGAGTGAGAAGATCCAGGAGCAAAGTCTAACACTTTTTTTAAACCAGTTTAGTCACTATTAAGGGGAGCTAGTTATTTGGACATTGAAATATCACTGGCAAGAAGAAAACATTTAAAACCCTCAACATCAGGTCAATAGAATATATTGGAGAATGCTTAGAGCCACAAATAGTAATGGTCAGCTATCCTTTTCCAGGCATCTTAGACCTCCACATAGACTTTGAAAGGCAAGCGAAGAGGCATTAACACCATCAGTAATGTTGGATATTTGCAAATAACCTCAGATCCAATGGTGTGCCAGAAAACATCTTTGTCCAGAACAAAAGGCTTTAGACCTGTGTAAATTGCTATTCTCTATTAGGATCAGAAGAAGCAACACTGTTCCTTGTACCAAGTGAGAAGTATGGAGAGGGTGCAATACCTCTTTGGCCTCCTTGAGCTGGAGTCAGGTTAGAAGCATGGGCTGTGATGTGGCTTCCCTGAAGGGAGCCAAGTAAGGGCCATGCCACTCAACAGGCGATGTGTAGCTACACGCAACCAATAAAGGTGAAGGCTAAAAAATATCTGTATTTATCATTTATGCCATCTCAGTGCCCTAAAGACATCTACAATACCAAAAGACACACAGCATGATTAAATGCCTTCCTGATTAAGAGAAGCAATTCAGTAAACTAAGACCTCAACAGTAGATTTTTCATACATTCCCTACTACTTTTGGATTTTCAGCTATGGTCCCACTAATAAGCTGGCAGTGTTTCATTTGCATCTGTATCTCAGTAGGACAGCAAGCCCTGTGGATTGCCATGTATATTATAAATGTTTCTTTTTAATGCATTTCTCTCAAAAGAAATATTTTTTAAATGGGCTGCGCTGATTCCTTTGGATCCCAAGAGAGCAACAGTCTACTGAGGCTGCCCATACAAAAAATGGCAACACTACACCCCTAGATATTGAACAAAGTCTGAGATAACAGTATTGCATATTAAGTATAATCTTTCACATATGCATATGCTATACCAAGTGCGCACAA